AAGTCAGGAGAGGGTTAAAAATGCAGCTATGCTGCAGTATGTTTATAGACCATCAGCCTTGCCTCCATCTTTATGGAGAGGAAGACATGTCTGCGCTCACTTTCTAACCTTTATCATTTCTTCGTGTATCCCGTAGTGTCCATAAGAGCTGAAATAAACATCCTCCTCATTCTCTTGTAGTTCCGCAGTGGCACTGGCTGTTGAATCACCTCTGACTTCTGCATTCATCACAAAATCCTGTGCAAATTGTCTGTAATCAGTTTGAAACATACCCTTGAGACATGTTTACGGGACCATTAAAAAAAAAAACTTCAGGGCAAGGGGGGGGAGAGAGAAAGAAATAGCATGCAGGTTTCAAAGCACTTCATTGTAAGCTGAAGCTCCCTCTGCTGGTTGCTGCACAGAAAGTTGCTGCAGAAGAGTTTGGTATTCTCTGCATATCAGCATCAGTATTTTTCCACATTTAAGAGAATGGTGTGCTACAAAATTCTGATTGCTGTAATCTTGACTTGGCACTTTCTTTCATCAGCCACCTTTGACATATAGGTCTTCCCAGACCAACCCACACAATTTTGATGTTCACAGAACAGAAAATCTTCTGTACCTCCAACAGCAACCTCAAAAAGCATGACTATACTGAAATGACGATGTACATTAGGAAAAAAAGTTTTTAAAAGGTGTTCTTCCAAGACCCCAAAACAGCAGGAAACCCAGGACGACAGATACAGAGTCATCCAAGAAATGCAGCAGACTTGGGCACTCAAACCACTGCCTACCTCCTCTCCCAAGCCTCTTGACTGATTGCTTACATACTGAGCCAGACCCAAAGTCTACCTTCCTAGAGCAGAAGATGACTTGTACTTGCGTGGTCGGGAATGATGATTTTCCCTTCCCATGTGGCAGTTGCCATGGTGGACCACAAAGCTCCAAGAATCCCCTCAGCCCCACAGGGGATTCTTTTTTGGTGAGCACAGTGGGCTGTGGCAGGAAAGATAGAGATTGGGAAAATTTGCTTGCAGTCTTTCAAAACTGGTCCGTAATTAAAATAATTAACAATTAATTTTAAAATAATAGGTTTTCGAGGACAAGGGACTGGTTACAGGAAAGAAAATAATCTGCTTCACAAGTTACTATAAATAAAAATGAAGTTACAATGAATTTCCGTACTCAAAGAGCCACTTAGAGATGTCTTAAATACACAGCACTTTCGCAGCAACCATGCACTGTTACAGTGGCAACAAAAGTGTATAATTCAGTAAGAGACCATTATTTTGGACTGAGCAACACCCATTCTGTGTCATGGATGTTCAGTTTCTTCCCATAATTGTCCATATTATGAAGTTTGGAATTAAATGGCTTGTTGTAGCCAACAAACAGCAAATAGGAATTTCCTGCCTCTGCCATCCCATTGTAGCCTACACTGCCCCTAAAACCCCACAGTGAGGCGTTGTGGCATAGTGGTAGATCATCTGCTTGGCATGCAAAAGGTTCAACCCCTAGATTCTCCAAGTTAGAAGGATCAGGTAGTAGGGGACGTCAAAGACCTTCACCTGAGACATTGGAAAGCCGCTGCCAGTCTGAGTAGGCCATACTGACTCTGATGGTCTGGTTCAATATAAGGCAGCTTTATGTATTCATTACCCTGTACTTGGGTTCAGTGGAGCTCCAAGAACTGTGTTGGGCATGATGCAGTGACTACACTTCCACCAGCAGTTTTACTTTTATTTCAAATAATCTGATGACCCAGCAGTCTCGGGCAACATAAATCACACTAATAATGCCAATTATATCTTTGTATTGAAGCCATTGGAGCCAACATTTTTGCCAAAGCCAGTGTTATACCAAAATTGGAATCAGCTAGCAAAAAAGCTGAGGAAGTGAAAGAAGCACCAGAAGCCATCACTGGCTGAATCTAGAAATCTTGCACATTGGGCCCTTATCTGTGGTGATGATGATGAAGATGAAGGAGGAGGGGGAGGAGATTGGATTTATACCCTGACCTTCACGTGAGTCTCAGAGTGGCTTACAAACTCCTTTCCCTTCCCCTCCCCACAACAGACACCCTGTGAGGTAGGTGGGGCTGAGAGAGCTCTTGACACAAACTGCTCTTTTTCAAGGACAGCTGTGCCAGAGCTTGTGACTGACCCAAGGTCACATCAGCAGGTGCAAGTGGAGGAGTGGGGAATCAAACCCGGTTCTCCCAGATTAGAGTCTGCGCACTTAACCACTACACCAAACTGGACCTCTTAACGGTCTTTCTAATAAATACATGTATTTATGTATAAGTTTACACTAGGTTTTTAATATTGGCCCTTTATCAGACGAATCCAGAAATCTCTCAAAAGGAGGCACCAGCATACAATCAAAGAAGCTAGGAGCCAATGTTTCAATTGCACCAGATCCACAATGACACTTTTTTTTTTTTACTCCCAATGTCCTGCTGGTGGAAAGCAATTGTTGACTACAACCCAGTAACTTTGCATAATATGCTCTGTCTCCAACTTTCAAGTTTATAAAATGTTGGGAGGGGGAGACTGTGCTGACAATAATTTGATGGAACAAATTCTAGCCTATTTTTATCCTGCCTTCTTATAAGATCTCAGAATGGGTTGATTCTCCTGTCCTCATTTTATCTGCACAACAGACCTCTAAGAGAAGTTAGGCTGATACTGGCTCAGGCCACACAACGATCTTCATGGATACATGGGTGGTTTAAACCAGGTCTATCAGATCCTAGTCAGACATTCTAATCACTACTCCACTCTGGCTCTCAATAGGAAAGAGGGTTATACCCCAAAACAGAGAGCATCTTGCCAAACACACATTTATGGTTCTAAGCTATCTGATAACATGGTGAACTATTCTACACAACCATGAAGGCGGCAAAATGTGCCACATAATAAAATGAGCACCGTGGTCCTGTTCCCATTAAGGTTTTTTTTAAATTGTTTTCTATATAGGATAGTACATTTAATACCAAACCGTCTCCATGTGCAATGGTTCAGTTCATATAAACAAGGAGCCAACATTTCCCTTCCTGTACTGAGCATACACCTCTCCCTTCCCCCCAGCACCTCAAGTAAGGTGAAACATAAAGACAAACAGAAATGCAATTCCCACTTGTGTGAGTCTTCTTCCCTTATGTGGTGAATGGTACATGACTTTGTGTATTTGTAACACCCTCATAAGCTACTCCAGGTGCATGGTGGAAGGCAGAAGTGCCCACCCATTCATTCCCTATTAACAGAGAATCAGAGGCCAAATAGGCTTAACACATCCATGGCTGCAGACTGAGCCAGGTCCTTTCACACTTGCTGCTTTTAGTAAACTTATTGGGGTTTGTACTTATGGTCAACCCAATCAACTAGATTTTGTTCACTTTCATTTGGCTGACATAGATAAAAATATAAATGTATTTGGTTCATAGGAATTTTTTTTTGCTAAGATTGTATCCAATACTAGGACTTCCACTGGTGAAGGAAGGAAGGGATGCTTTTGGCCAGTTTCTCTCTCCCATGCTGGCCCCCCATACCATGCCCTGCAATGTTCTGGAGATCCTATGAAGCCCAGGAGCAATATATGTTAGGCTGCAGCAAAAGAGTAAAGGCAGGGAAATTTCACTGCATGGCTAGAGTTCCATTCATTGGATATGATCCATTCTTGTATAGTACTGCAAGAAAACCTGTTTCACAACTGAAATGTTGCGGTTAGGAAAAACCGTACAGCAACTCCTGTAACAGTCAAACAGGGGGGGAAGTGATCTATCAAAAGATCTTATTAAAACTGGGTGGAACAAAACAGCTGGTATTTGACACCTGTAAACATCTTACCACTGCATTCAATTTACCGGAACTGATCACATGGTCAGGCTTCTAGTGACCATTAATAGTATATAAAGCCTATTTTAGTCTGATGTATCCAAGAGCTGCCAATCAAGTTTCTACATAAATGTTTGGTTGAAACCGTACTTCATTTTATGAAGATCTTCTTGGGCTCTGGCCAATGCAGCTTCTGCCAACTCTGCTCTGTGCTCTGCACATTTCAAGCGCTCCAGGAGAGATGAAGCCTCTGTTACACCATTGGAACAAGAGGTACTGGCAGAGTCAACAATACCATCTATATCTGAGAGGAAAAAAGCATAAAAGAATTCACTGCATATTAACTGTACACTAGCATGCAAGGGGACAAAGGCTGGAGTGTTCAGGGAGTTGCTGAGCTATTGATGGGCAACCTCACCACAAAAATGCCATTGTCAAGCTTTGCAAGCTTTACAGAGGTAAACGCTACCTTATAGTTCCCTCCAGGCTGAACAAGGTAAACATTACTGATTATGCAGGGGTGATGTTTTAATTTTATTGTAGGCATGCCCTTAGTATTATTTCATATATACACAACAAAATATAACTTATTTTGCAATTCATACTTTTTGCTTGCCTTTCTAGGTCTTAGTATTGCTTATTTGACCTACTAACATGAAAATAGCTACTAAAATGGTGGGCATGTGGCCATATCATGGGGCTGTTGCTAAGCAGGCGAGCAAGAACTGACTGCTGATCATGTCTATTCTTTGCTCTACTTCCATGTCCATTATGTTTAGCAGACAGTGTCTTTAGGTTACTAGGCAGACACTGATGGGACCTTAAAGAAGGGGGGAATATAGATATTTCCTTAGCGTGCACACAGCACCAAGGGGCATTTCAGGAATTTCCATCTAGAAAAATTATTTCAGACTAGGAATAAGGCCCATTGTGGAAATAAATACAATGAGCTCTAGAAAGAGGCGGGGGGGGGGGTGCCTCGGCCTTGGGCACTCAATGTCAATCTGCTATGACGACCTCAGCAGGGTATAATAACAGAGTCCACTGTTTTCTCCAGTTGAACTGATCTCTGCCACCTGAAGAGCAGTTGTAATTCTGAGTGATCGCCAGTACTCACTTGGAAATTGGCAACAATGGATCCTCAGGAGGAAATGGCTGGTTTGGAGGATGGAGTCTATGGCATTGTACCTGTCTGAGATCCCACCCTTCCTCATACCCCACCGTCGCCAGGCTCCACCCCTCATATCTCCAGGAATTTCCCAACCTGGAGTTGACAACCTTATCTCCTTCCCAGCCAGCCATCAACCTACCTTTATCTGCCCCTCTGGTATCAGCTTTCCATCTCCTCCCCCCTCCCTGCAGCCTCTACCTAGGAAGAGTACAGTCTTTCTCCTCAGTGGGGACCAAAGCAGCTCACATCATTCTCCTCTCTCCCTTTTGATCTGCACAACCACCCTGTGAGGTAGGTTAGGCTGAAAGTCTGTGACTGGTCCAAAATCACCCAGCCAGCTTCCACAGCAAGAACCTGGGTCTGGCAGACCCTGCTCTGAAGCACTAACTGCTATGCCACACTGGCTGTGGTACTGTCTGGTATCACAACTGAACTCTAAACAACAGATCTCTCTCTCCCCATGGATGAAATAACTGCTCCGGAGGGTGGACTCTATGGCATTCGATTCAGCTGATGCCTCTCCCCTCCCCAAACTCTGGCTTTCGTAGACTCCACCACAAAATCTCCAGGAATTTCCCAACCTGGAGCTGCCAACCCTAGTCAGGACTGGTCCCAATTAGTTCCCCACAAAGGTCAAAGTAGGCCTGGAAAGGGGCTCCTCCCCCTGCCTTTTTACTGACAGAACCATGCTTCGTTGCCTAGCAACAGCCGCTGAGGAGAAAGTGAGCCACACAGCAGGAGGAGAAGTGAATGGTTTGGTGGCTCCTGGCCCACCTCAGTAGCGAGCCATCCAGGAAGGAGCCAAGCAGCAGTAGAAGTGTCTTTGTAAGGAGAGACAGCTGTTTTGGCAGTTTATTCTGACAGGTAAGTGGCCAAGCCGGCAGTGAGCGGGGGAGAGGAGCGGATCCAACACCCAGCCAATGGCGCACAAGTAGTCTTGAGTGGCAGATGATAGGCCAATGGTTGATGGAGCGCACAGCACAGCCAATGGGAGAGCCAGAAAGTGCCAATACGTTGAGCTTATATATATATAGGATTCCAAAATACTATCTCTTCACACCCCACCAGAAATACCTTTACCAACTAAGTAGTCAGGAGAAGAAGGGGAATAGACAAGTTCATAAGCAGATAGGTAGCTGGTTAGGTTAGGTGGGTTGTTTCTTTAGTAGTCACATCTAGCTGTTTATTCATCAACTTTAAAACTCATTTTCCAAAAGTCACTAGATCCCAGTACCTTTCTTTTAAAATGAGTTCAGCCTATCAACTGTTTCCAGAAATGGAAAATGAGCATACAGAATAATAGTTATTGTAAATCAGATGCTGGGCTATACAGAAAGGCTTAGCAAGCATATGAAAAGATTAACATACAAATAACACACATCTGATAGTCAGGGGAACACTGCAAGGCATCACAGACCGATTAGCAGACATATAATGGAAGATGCCCCATTTTTGTTTTGTATATAAAACAGGCAGGGACCCACAAGAAACTTGCCGGGAGAGGGCATTTCCTCCCCTCTCCCCCGACTTCTCTGCCTCTCACCCCATCTCTTACTCTCCTCCATGCCTGTCACTCTTTCTGCCCCCAACCCCGTCACTCTCCATTTCTCTTTCTGCCGCCCATCCCAGAACTCTTACTTTTTCTGTCTCTCCCCTCCCCCCCACCAAGACTTCCGCTTCATAGCCAATCTCAGTGGTTCTTCCAGAGCTGCTCCAGGTGAGCCAGCAGTCTTCCCTTCCCCATAGCTGCTCTCGACGGCTCACCTAGAGCTGCTCTGTCTGGCCCACTGAGGCTTCCCTCCCCCCCTCACCATTTTTGATGGCCTACCCAGAGCAACTCCTGGTGGGCCTACTGAGGCTCCCCCCCACTCTCTGGCTTACCTGGAACAGCTCCAGGAAGGACTGCTGGGGCTCCCCACCCAGCTTTCGGCAGATCGCCTGGCACAGTTCCAGACAGGTTGAACCGGCAGCAGTTCCCAGGCTCTGCCGCCACCACTAGGACTGTTAAAGGTTGGCCGTGGTGGAGGAAAGTGCCATCAGGTCACAGCTGACTTATGGCAACCCTGTAGGGTTTTCAAGGCAAGAGATGCTCAGAAGTGGTTTGCCATTACCTGCCTCTGTGTTATAACCCTTGTATCCCTTGGAGGTCTCCCATCCAAATATTAGCCAGGGCCGACCCTGCTTAGCTTCCGAGATCTGATGAGATTGGGCTAGCCTGGGCTATCTAGGGCAAGGCTATTAAAGGTTAGGGCGACACTTTTTTATTTAGATGAGAGTTTAAACATCCCAGTGTTGGGGTTTTTTTTTAAATGTTCAGATTTTCCTGCAAACCTAAGTGGTTCCCCAAGTTTGCTGAATCATCTGTTTAGGGCAAGTGTGGCCCCAATTGGTCGATATAATTATCCACAGATAGGGTGCACACTTGGGAATTAGATATATAGCTTCTTTTATGAAGTAGCAACTTAATAAGCTAGATGTTCAAGGCCTTTTATGTTTATTTGTAGATGCAAGGATTTGGGGGGGGGGGTGATTCTGTATCCTGGAAGAAGCCAGCCCTTTAAACCACATCAGTGTGGAAACATGGTTATTTCTTTCCTAAAGGCTGCACTCAAATTCAAGTTAGAACAAACCCTACCATATTGGAGTAAAATATCATCTTCCAAAACAGGCTTCAAGTACTTCTCTTCCTCCCAGGGAACTGGTGCACTGATTGAAATGAGACACTCTACAGTTGGTTTCTGGAAAATTAATGGAAAAGATATAGGAAATTTTTAAAGTTATATAACGTGTTTAAAAGTTCCAGTTCCTTACCATATGGAATATCCTATTCAGTATGTTACTGAAGGATAAGTTCTTCAAACCGCAATAATCAGTAGTCTCTAGAAAGTCACTTTGGATACAGCTTTTAAAATAAAGTGTGTGTTTATTCTGTAAGCTGTCTTGTGAACTTTTAGTTAGAGTGTAAAAGTTAAATGCTCCACATAAGTAAAAAAATGCCCCTAGAGAATGCAACAGATTATTATTCAATTGTATTATAATGTCAGTCTTGTTCTACTCATGGAACAACAAGTAACTTACTTCCATCCTAATGAAGTTTACTAGCTTGATATATCCATAAAAATCAAGTCCTGAAAGAGAAAAAAAAATTCCAGCTTGAGAAACAGAGTTACTTAGATAAAAATCATGACAAATTTGGCTATCTGACCATTTTTCACTTAATTGCTTTTATTCTCTATCAGTTCTACTAACTTAATTTCAGTGTCACTTTCAGCCTAACACTACAGTGCACCAAATGCAGGTAAGTCTATGGAAATCAATGGACTTAGGTGGAGACTACACATATGTACACACATCCCTTTGCGTGCATGAACACCTGTGTATACCTTAGACAATACATTCATAGTCAGATATATCGTTTTAACAAATGTGAACAGTCTGAAAACCTCACTTTTAGCATGTTTACCTACACTTTGTGCTGAAGCTGCCTGCCCCACTCTATATAAAAAAGTAGAAAAATATACCAGCCCATATGTAAACTTAGGTCTTTCCCATAATGGAATTATCTTGCATTTCATCCTTTATCCTCAATGTACAGAATGATTTCAGCTATAGTCAAATACCAACAAGTAAGCCACCATATTGACTCTGCAACTGTGTTTCATGCAACAGGCTTAAGGTGTATAACAGAGTACCATGAAAAAGGAAATGTGATCTTGTCATTTTTGACACAAAAGATCTGTAAAGAGCTTGAAATGAAGAAAACTATAAAGCAAAAGTATATAAAATGCAGAAAATAAACTTACTATGTTTATGAACCACCATCTCAATACTGAATCTGTGATCCAATGAACAGTGGTCAAAGACATCTTCAGGTGAACTGAAAAACCTAGGAAAACACAGTAGGAGAACCTATTTTTGTATTCTGAAAGGAGCAGAAAGATAACATTAAAAATTATCTAACAATCTGTTACAAAACCAAGAATCACAATGACCGACCATTTAAAACTGTGTTGCATCGAGGGAATTACATCCTTAGCACATAGAAATTCTAAGACTGGTTTCCATATTTTGTCATATTCAAATAAAGGAACTACCATACATTAAGTCCCAAAAAAACAGATTATGCATAATCTTACCCACCAAAAATTGTTCCCAGATTTTCTGGTACCATTTTTTGAGCAAGGGTCCCATAAGGAATTTCCAATTCCTGGCAATGGAAGCAACCAATGTAGAAACAAGAAATTTGGTATTTTTATCCAACAAAGAGTTGGCCCAAAAATCCCAAAACAAAAATTCTGGAGAATAAGGCAATGAAAGACCCACCATGTTGGATATCTCTTTATGAACCACCTTTCAAAAGTCCTGGACCAGATGGGATTCCCACCACATATGTAAAACAGTACCTTCTTGCTTACAGGATCTCCAACATGGTGGGCTCAAAGACATGTTCATCCGGTTTAATTTGTGTGGTGTTTAGGCTTACCAAATGCCGGCGGGGGGATCTGCAGCTCTTTACAGGATCCCTGCCGCGGGGGACGGCGATACGCGGTGCACCCGCCGTCGCCAGGATATGACGCTACACGTCGCTCTGGCAACGGGACTCCAAACAGCCCCACTGCCAGAGCGATGCGTAGCGTCACATCCTGGCGACGGCGGGTGCACCGCGTATCGCCGTCCCCCGCGGCAGGGATCCTGTAAAGAGCTGCAGATTCCCCGCCGGCATTTGGTAAGCCTAGTAGTGTTCAATACCGATTAGATAGCAACTTGTAAAATTGGAGTTTAATATTCCAACAGCAGGATTTGTTGGAAGGGGAATTCCAAAACTGTTTCCAATCAGATTCCGAAAAGGCCAGCTTCAGAGAATTAGACCCTTTTTTTTGTATGGTAAAGGGTCTTTATATATTCCTGTTAGTAATAATTTATAAAGGGCAAAAATCATACCTTGTTTACAATCATTCCCATTCCAAATTAAGTCCTCAAATGGGGTTAGTGGTTGGAGCAAATCCTTGGACCTGATCAGATTAGTGATCAGATTTTTCAACTGAAAATATCAACTCCAAGATATCTTAATTCCAAATCTTTCCTCCACTATGGATTTATATAAAATTTTCCCATCTCTAAATCCAATTAATTATCATCAACAAACCAGAATATTTCCATTCTCTAAATTCACTTAAATCCTTTTCTGGTGGGAACCAGTCTTGATTCATAAAAGTAATTAAAGGAGAAACACCTGGGGCTAAGATTTTCCTATATTTGTCCCAGATTTTAAGCATGTTATCTAGTAGAGGGTTGGAAGAAATCAAAGCAGGTCTACTTTTGGTGGGAGACCAAACGGTTACTGGTAACGAAAACGGTGAGGAGAAAAAACTTTCTACAGAGATCCAGGCTTCCATCAGATTCAATTTTAAAGCCTGAATCAATAGAGCCAGAGAGGAAGCAGCATAGTATAAAGACAGGTTCAGGACATTCAGACCACCTAAATCTGAAAGCTGACATAATGTCTGAAAACCAACTCTAGGTCTAGCAGAAACGTAACGTATGTAGATATACACATAAAAAATATAGGTTTGGACAACAATTAGATAATGACTAAGTACCAAAGCTTTATCAATTCACACAGGAAATGGGCTGGTGTGTGTGTGAAGGGGAAGTACTGACTAGGACTGATTTCACATAAGAGCTGCGCCGTGGTCGCGCCTCCCTTTGCTCCGCTTCTATTGGTCAATTTCCCACTCGAAGCCGCGTGGCCGCATTTTGACCTGCGGCTTTGCTCGATTTTCCCTGCGGTTCCTGTTTTTTGAGGCTCATGAAACCACGGGGAAAACTGAGCAAAGCCACAGGCCAAAGCTCCTCACTCATCCATTTCCATGAACACAGCAAACTACTGGCATCAGATTGAATTTAGCAAAAAGACTGTTTTAAGTTATCTAGCATTTACTCTAGAAAGCAGTGGTGAAGGTTAATGAGATAAACAAGAAGCACAAGAACACATAGTAGAGCACAATGTATGTTGTTTGGAAGGGAAAAATGATTCTCTATGAGATAGTTAAGTGTCTACCTTAGACACTTTAAGTGTAAACCTAAACATGCGAAGGGTAAATGCAAATATGAGAATATTTGCAAATACATGCACTATAAGCTAGGAACCTATGAAGAATCATGAGAACAGACAACAGTTTGGAATTCCCATTTCATTCCTCAAAATTTTACCCTTCAAGATTTTCTAAGTTCTAAGGTTATGAGCCCCTTTCCCACTTTAACTGACACTCAGGTGCCTTCAATATTCAACCCCTTCTGGAGCATTTTCAGTTCCCATCAGGTCACTTTTCCCCCCTATTGGTGAATTTATAATATACTTTCCCACAGACCTGGGAGTTGCCCAAACAGGTAGAGGTTTTTACCTTGGCTGTGGGTGGCCTGGACTGGCTGATTTCAGCATCCACACAGGCACCAGCCAATTTATTATTAACTAGTGTAACAAGACAAGCTGGTGGGGGTAGGCAACAGAAATTTTGAGAGGAAAAGAACAATTCAGAACTCTCACCCATTCAAAATCTGCCCATCCAGAACTGAGTTCCTTCCTCCTTTTCCATAATGCTCAGCAGCTAGCTAGCTAGTTAGCGCTCTCTCACTCTCTCTCACACACACACACTCACACTCTTCTGGTTAATTCATAACATCATTTTTTCCTAAATACCTGGAAAGCCTTCCAAACACATAGATGGATGACCTATTTGTGCCACTTTTGTTATTGTATTGAGGGTTGATTATAGGGTTGCTGCCAACATCCAGGTAGGATCTGGAAACCTCCTGGAGTTAAAACTAATTTCCAGATGAGACAGAGAAAAAATGGCTCTTTTAAAATGTGGACTCTAGGGCATCATGCCCTGCTGAGATGCCTCCTCTCCTCAAACACCATCCTTCCTCCTAAATCTACAGGAATCCCCAAACCCAGAGCTGGCAACTCTAGAGTGATACAAAAAAGGTTGGTGACCATGAAGACCTGGGGAGGGAATGGGAATTGCAACTATTTTTTCCTATGTATCCTGACATTTTACTAGTGCTTCTTTGATACAACTGATTCTTCTACAATGACGAAATTTATTATTCTTAAGCCGTTCTTCGGATATCAGTTGAACTAACGGAGAATAAGCTTTCAATGCAAATAAATAGAAACAGTCAACGGAAGTCTAGTAAGCAGCAGCTCAGGGAAAAAGAGGCTCTCCAAACGTGCAGTGCCCACAAAAGCGACGACGACCAGACCTGTCACAGAAAAGACACCGAGCCTGCAAGGGACCCTCCGTGTCCTCCTCTACTTCCTCCCAGGCATCCTCGCTTCCGCTGTCAGACAAACAAGGCTCAGTCACAGAAGCAGCCTCACCTGGAACAATAAGGGGGGGAAAGAATGAGTATCGTTGGAGCCCCGTAAAACCTTCTCGGAGAGGGAAGAGAATAGCATACCAACAGACACGGCTATCCGCGAGCTCATCACTGCGCCGTCACAACAAGCGTCTCCTACACGTGGACTCTTGAAACCCCTTCCGGCCTAAGGCCATCTACCAATGAAGACCACAACTCCGCCCACTGACCAATAAGATAACAGAACGTCGAAAGAGGCTCACGAAGAGAAAGAAGCACTGTGTACGGGAGCTTAAAAGGGCCAAATTTATGGGAAAGGGAGCGTTATCGAGCGCTAAAAGCTACGAAGAAGACAGAAGTTGAATTGATGCCTCTCTTGGTTGCACTATAGTTGCAGAGCACTATTCTACAGAGCTGTGTGCCTATGCTACAGAGCTGTGTGCCGGGGAAAATGGGCTATTTTATTCTACTGTGCAGACTCCCATAAACTGTTGTCCCATATGGTTGCCAGCAATGTTCCCTCTAAGCTGTGGAGTCTTGTGAGCAAAAATTCTACTTTGTGAGCTCCTGGCATTAAAGCCGTGAGTGACCGTTTTGGCTACTGCATGAAATAGTTTGCTCTGGAGCCCTCCTTCCTGAGCGAAGGCAAAAATGTGTGAGCCGGAGGCTAAAAAACTGTGAACTAGCTCACACTAACTCAGAGGGAACACTGGTTGCCAGTCTCCAAGTGGGGCCTGGAGATCTCCTGGAATTACAACTCATCTCCAGATGACAGAGATCAGTTCCCCTGGAGAAAGTGGCAGCTTTGCAGAGTTGATACTATGGCATCACATGCCTGCTGAGGTACCTTCCCTCCCCAGGCTCTACCCCTGGGGCTCTACCCCTAAAATCTCCAGGAATTTCCCAAGACAGAGTTGACAACCATATTCCAGAGGATTGCCTGTCCCAGAGGCCCCCTCCCTATGGGCTGGCACCAAGAAGCATAGTAAAATTGGTGTGGGCAAGTGCAGATTTAGGTGACATTTGGGTGTGGTCAGCGAGCAGGAGCCCAAGAATGCCTGGCATCATGCTATGCAGATCCGAGTCCAATGCAGTGTTAGAGAGCACAACAGTTCCTTGCTTTGACCTGCCAGTCTGAATGTTCAATGGCAGCTTTGGCACAGTGTCGCCAGGACGAAGGAGCATACTGGCAACTAGGCATGGTGTGACTGGAAAGGACAGGCATAGCCATGGCTACACCTGGCTTTGCTGAGTGCCAGCCTGAATGTAGTTTGGCAGGTGAAGAGGGGCACAGTGCCTAGCTTGGGTTGCAGCCCAGGTGCTGCTGGTGGGGAGGATGGTGGTGACTGGCTTCACCTGTGGTAGCCCTGTGCATTGCATCAAGACAGGTGAAGCATGGAAGTGCCCATGTTCCAAGTGCAGTGCAGCTATGAAGGAAAAGCACACACACTGCAGCATGCAACTTCACCTCAGCCTGGGCATGGTGATGCTTGCCATCTCCTTGGGCTTGCCTGTATCCAGTGCAGCCAACAAGGAGCACTGTGGCAACCAGCTTCACCTTTGCCAGCCCAGGCATGGCATAGCTGGCAAGGAGGAGCATGTTGACCATGCTGTTTACACTGTGCCCAGACTGGCACTGTGGGAAACCAGGCACCACTGTGCCCCTCCTTGCTGGCTGCATGTTGCTTGTAGGCAAAAGCTGGGCGCTCCCATGCTCCTCTTCACCTTCCCCCATGGGGGCTGCCACTGACAGAGGAAGTGTAAGACTGAGAAGAGATTAATGAAAAGTGCAGCTTTAAAAGTGCAGCTGAGCCAGCAGCTATGGAGGTATCTGGTGGGCAAGCAGCCTTCTTCTCATCTGTAGCCATGGTCTCAACCAGGGGTTAATTTCCTGCAGGAGCACACAGGAGCGGAGCTCTGGCAGTAAAGAGCCAAGGGGGCGGGCACATGCAACAAGCCCCACCCCCTGCTCCCAACAGCCCTCAGTCAGAGCAAGAAGCAGCCAGGTACGTTGCAGAGCTCCCCCCGCCCCGCCCCCCGGTCCAAAACAGTCCAGTGGCACCTTTAAGACCAAGGTTTATTCAGGTACAAGCTCTCCCTCCTCTGCGAGGACAGATCTGCACGTTCCTCCCGCCGCCCCCCCAATAGCTAGCAATCCAAAACAGTCCAGTGGAGCCTGAGCGGTGGGTGTTGCCTTCTGACACACTTCTGGTGATGTCGGGGTGTGGGGCATATGCAAATAAGTTATGCTAATGAGTTATGCTAATGAGCTCCTGCACCTCTCTTTCTACAAAATGACCCCTAGTCTCAACTGTCCTTTTAAAAACTTTCTTGCTGGCTTCTAACCGGCTAGGAAGCAGGGAGAAGCAGTGCTGGAGACGGGCAAGTGGGAGTGAAGAATCCTCCTCACCCCCCTGCCCTCAGTCTGGCTACTTAGAAGACAACGGGAAAGTTTTAAATGCGCAGGTGAGCCGGTTGCAATGGAGCTGGCCCGTATCTACAGTGGGGCCTTTCGAGGCTCTGTCCCCTCAAATGGGAGGCACACCCCACAAAACCTGCTGCCCCTCTCCCCCCTGCCTGGGCATTAAAAGAGTTCTCCAGCTGATTGGCGGAGCATGTGCAGCCACCCTCTAGAAAAACAGCATTCAAAGGGAACCCTTTTAAATGCTGTTTTTCGGGAGGGGGGGCGTATACTTTCCCAGTTGAGCAGGAGGACTTCTCCCCAGCACCACATTGTGCTCCTGGCCAAGTTGGGCACCAGCATTCACAGCCTCTGGGACACTTGGAGGGTGCGCCATTTCTGCTTCTCCGGGGAGCTGTGCCGCCCCTCTCCATCCCCAGCAGAGCCAGCCAAGGACAGCCACCTGCCGTGCCCTGACGTGGGGATGCCATTCCGCCAGCCATTTGCACAAGGTGACGGAGAGGGGCAGCTGCCAGCTGCACGTCTTCCCTGAACTCCAAGCAGCAAACCTTTATCTTAGTTCATATACAAATACCATTTGGAACAAAACAGTGTCCTTTTCATCTTTTCAAATACCAGGGCTCTACTGGTAGCAGGAGCTCCTTTGCATATTAGGCCACACCCCCTAGTGTAGCCAATCCTCCAAAAGCTTACTGGGGGCTACTCTTCTTACTGGGGCTACTGTAAGCTCTTGGAGGATTGGCTACACTAGGGGTGTATGGCCTAATATGCAAAGGAGCTCCTGCTACCAGTAGAGCCCTGTCAAATACTAATATGTTTTAGGAGAAAAAGATCCAGATCTGTAAATGGAATGGAAGTAGCAGGTCATGCAGCAAATTACATCTCATTAGAAACAATAGATCATTATCCTAACAACCACATTATATCTCTTGGATATGTATACAAACCAAGTAAGTTTCCCATCCTCATTTTCAGACTACAGCAATGTCTTTGTATAAAATGCAAGACAAAGGCAAGATAGAAATAATAGAAACAGCACCTGCAGCTTTAAGAAACTAATGTCCTCAGTGGTTAGGCAACCACAACAATATTTCCAGCCTACATGCCTTGGTTTCTTTCAGTAACAGGCAAAAGAAGGGGGCAGGGGACTTTCCAGGAAGAAGAGATTGGATTTATACCCCACCCTTCAATCGAAGTCTCAGAGTGGCTTACAAACTCCTTTCCCTTCCCCTCCCCACAACAGACACCCAGTGAGGTAGGTAGGGCTGAGAGAGCTCTTTCGAGAACTGGTCTTTTCAAGAACTGCTCTGACAGAACTATGGCTTGCCCGAGGTCATCCAACAGCTGCAAGTGGAGGTGTGGGGAATCTGCTACACCACACTGGTTCTCCTATACCACACTGTTATGGCCTTTGAGGACTCATCAAGCCCAGGCCTGGCAGCAACTACTGGGTGAGACATCAGCGGAACCATTCCAGTGATTCCATGGGCTAGGTGGCTGGCTGCTATGCTATTACCAGTGCAACGTTCTGATCCTATGTACTTTCAACAGCATGGAATCTATGCATGTTGAGGTCTGGAATGTCAGGCTGTAACTTATCCTGTTTGTGTTAACTGACAAAATGCACAAGCAACTTGCCGCAGGAAGCCCACAGTCTCCTCACTCACTACCTATAGATCAGTTGACAGGAGGACAGTAACAGATGTTTGCCCCCGTAAGCTTCAGCAGGGCTCCCCTCAGAAAGTAGTTTGATTTGCCTGGCAGCTCCAAATGCATAATCCACCCCTTTGCCCTTTCTGCACTCTCCTTTTAATCTATGTTCACTGCTGTGTCCTCCAAGCAGTTCTGCACTAAAATCAAATTCAACCTTTTTAATCCAGGTTTTTCCCCATTCTGCACTAAAGTCAAGTTCAACCTTCTTTGTATTCCAGGTTTTCCCCCTGTTCGGCATTACATATTCTCCATTCCGTGGTCATCCCAGTTTCAGCCTGCTATTGCCCTGGGTTATTTGGATATTCTGTCCACAGCTGTTTTGCTGTGGACAGAAATTGCCTCAACTGGAACACTGAGAAAATCTGGAGTGGCAGGAAGTGCGGAAAGGACCCTTATTTTAGTAAAGGTAAAGGTTTCCCTTGCTCGAAAGCTAGTCAAATCTGATTCTAGGGGGTGATGCTTATCTCCGTTTCCAAGCCAAAGAGCCAGCGCTGTCCGAAGACATTTCCGTGGTCATGTGGCAAATTACTTGCATACAGCTTGTCCAAAAACACAAATAGGCTTATATTTTGAAAGGACACACATTTATTCCTTTAAAATGCTAACAGCAGAGTGGGGGGGGGGGTTTGAAGACCAAAACTGAGTGGAGATTGAAGGAATAATTCCCTGCACAGTCTTGAGGAAAACGGAGACTACAATTTGCATTTTATGAACTGAGCCTTGCCTGTTTCAGCCCTGAGTTTTTCCTTCTTCCCAGGGGTTCTGTTCTAAAACAAAAGGTGTACACAGGCTAAGTGCTCCCCCATGACTTACCTCACTGCACTCCAAAACAGGAAGCATTTTTTTCCAACCAGGGTTTGTTCCATTACTAGAGCTTGGTGGGAGAAAGAATGCTCCAAGTGCTGGAGTGCGGAATGGGGCAGGGTTTGTCTTCCTTTCATCCATGTGCTACAGTTTTATTTAACCTCCTGATTTACAGATGAATCAGCAGACTTGGCCCTGAACTAAAATACATTGTCTGCTTTTA